GTGCATCTTCAAGAAGGGACTATAATATGTGGCATTTCTCCCAAACTTATGTAAACATAGTCCTTTGATGGAGGAGAGCCATAGCTACCAGGACCAACATTCCACAGAACACGATTTGGGAAACACTATTCTATTTTTATTTTATCCAATAAATTCCTTTAAAACATCCTTTTAATATAAAACAAAAAGTTGAGTGCTTCTCTTTCATAAATTTTGTCCACAGTTCTAATAATCAACCTCCTTCACATGTTGACTCTGCACAAAATAATTTCTATATGAGAACTGGACAATAGAGAGACAGGCACAGTGAAGGCAGGTTGGAAATGTCTTAGTGCATAGGGACATAGTTATGGATACTCCTGAGACACAGTCAAACACCTCACAAAGTTGGTTTACTGGGTTTGAAGGCTTAGAACCATAGTGTCATGGAACAATGTTGTTACCTAGAGTAATATAATTGATAAAATGTGTGTTCTTAGAATGTGCTTAGTAGTGCATGGGTTCCTAAAAGCTTGTGAGTGGCACTGTAACATGAAGCTATTGATCTTGACTCATCTAGAACAAAAGAGGAAAATGGAAAAGCAGGACTGAGAGAAGAAAGCAGTCTATAGGACTAATAGTCTACACAAACCATGGCCTTATCTACCCTGAGACCAGAAGAACTAGATGGTTCCCAACTACCACTACCAACCATACTAATAAGGGCAATAGATGGGTCCTCATATAACAGGAAAAAATGTGGATCAGAACTCAAATTCTTAAAAAGTCCAAAATTACTGAATTGATTAAGATTGGAGGACTTCCCAAGACTATCACTCTGAGATACTCTTTAAACCTTGAACCTAAACTATTCCCTGAGCTCACCTGTTAGCAAAACAACAGATTGGCATACAAAAATAAAGGATATTATCCATGAGCACAGGTTCCATTAAAAAATGTATACAACACAAAAAGGTCAACGATTATTCCAAAGCAGGGATGAGAAGGGAAGGGGATGGGGAAACTAGATTACTGGAAATGGAGTAACCAGATCAGAAATGATGAGAATATTGACATATTGTGAAAAGTATAACCAATATCAATGAACAATTTGTACAGAGATTTTTGAATGGAAACATAATTTGCTGTTTAAACTTTCACCTTAGACTCAATAAAATATTATGCAAAAAAAATAGTAACAATATAGAATGCCTTTGTGTACGTGG